CTCATCAGTTCACTGCTAAGGAAGAACCTTTCTCATTGTGCTACAGAGATTGCATATTTACAAGATGTAATTCCCAACATGGTTGTTCATAGACATTTTATTCACAGGGACACCTTAAGTCTGAGGCTATAGAGCTAGAATATAAAAGTTCCTTTCAAATTCACTGTGAGCAAAAACTGGCCCAGCCTGGTAAAGAAGGGCTTAATTGATTTCATTAGTTTTATGGAACTTGAGGATTATTTAAAATGCTTTCTTGGCAAAATACATGTCAAAATATGTGTGTTTCTTCATTATTTGGATTATCCATAGTTATTGACTTTATTTCAATAGAATATTTTGAAAATAAGAATAACAGAGAACTAAAAAGAGGCTAATTAGAGTTGACCTAAAAACTCCTGCATTCAACAACTGTATAATTCAGAAAGCTAGCGATTGATATGAAAGAAATGTGATAAAATTTACTTGGTGCAGTTGAGTAAAAGGGAAATCAGCCATCAAGAGTCTTCTGACATTCAATAGATCTAGCTGAACACAAAATTCTTGAGAAATATGGGAAATTATGAAAAATACATTCTATTTATTATGTTCTTAAAGTGAAATTCAGTGAAAGAAAAAGAACATGCTTCCATCTGTTATCAAACTGACTCCTAGAGTTCCCTCTGTGTATCACAAATTGGAACTCAGTGGAGATCTGAATGTAGAACACATATTTTCAAAAGCTAACAGGTCAAATAAACTAGACAGTTCAATGCAAAAGAAACTGGAGATTCTGAAAAAAGACAAAACAAAACTGTATTTAGCAGTTTAAAAAAATTATGAAGCATTGCCAAAGATGAAAGTCCCATCAATTACATTTCTAAACATATATGTTCCTTTTAGAGCAAATTAATTTCATAATAGATGAAATAGGGTAATAAGTAAATGATATTCTATAAGGTGCTATAAACAGCATTATACTAGTAAAGTAAATGGTAAAATTTATAAAACAGTATGGACTACAGAGTAACAGGTGAAAATATTATGCTAAATAATATTCTAAGGACTACATCTTATAATTTTTTAAATTATTCAACCGTAACTAAGATTAGTATTCAAACAGCACTTTTAATTGATGTAAAGTTTATCTCCCATGTAGAAAATAAAATTTTAACAATTTTAAATATAAAGGGAATTATCTTATGGCATAAAATCCAAACAAGGACAAAAACATTAAATCAAACATTTCTAGTAATCAGTCTAATCTATCTTAAAAGTATTTATGATTAAAAGGTAATGAGACCAATTTAGCACTACTGTTGTTTAAAATGAATATTGGGCCTCTCTGGTAGTGCAAATAGGGTTAAGCGTCAGCACTATGAAGCTATCCACAGCTACTGCTGCATAAGTTCAATCCCTGGCCTTGGAGGTGAACCACATGGCACAGCAGGCCTCTCTGGTCTGGAACGCCTGTTGCTCCCCTCAGCAGAGTATTTCAATCAGCCTGTTCTGCTCTCCACACTCTCTGGTGATCCTCTAACCCCCTGCACACCAATTCTTGTATGCATAAATAAATCTTTAAAAAATGAAAAATAAAATAATAAAATTAATATCAACAGTTGTTTACAGTGATACCTTTTGCCTAGCACAGATATGATTTGTTGTCACAGTTAATTTACCGGATAAAATTCCAGCCCCATCAATAGTCACTATTTCATTATGTTTTTGACCTTATTTAACCTCCTAATTTCATTTACTTTTACAGATATTGGATTTACTCTAAAAGCATCAAATTCCCTAAGTTAGTATTAAGGAAAATCTCATCTAGGTAAATCTTAAGTGATTTAAACCTACCTTAATACAATTTAGTAACAAAAATGAATATTAATATGATGGGAAACATCACTTTATTCTATTTTATGAATAATGTGTGAGTGATGTTAGGCTCAGAAATCTGAAATTTCAAGATATAAAAAAAATTTCCCCAAACATTTTTCTTACCTGCCAAGTCATGCAAGTTAATGAGTGAAATTTTAGACTGAACATTTATTTATAGAGCTAACAAAAATACTTGACATTCTGGAAAAGTGAATTGTAAGTTCTGTTTCTACTGAAGGAGTTTGAAGGCTAGGTCAAAAACTACCATACTCTTACAGATAAGAATTAGAAAAATTTTGAAAACAAAGTTTGCAAACAATAAGTCCTTATTGACAGCATCAGATAAATTACAAAGCCCTGAAGAATGACAGAGTCCACAACTGAGAGACGAAAAAAGAGAGAGGCTAGCACTTGGGATCACTTATTTTCTAGAACATTATATTTTAAATGTGGCCCATGGAATAGCTGATAGTCTTTTAACTGCTTGTTGTATTTAGTGACAGAGTAAAGAAATACTTTGCAAATGCTATTCATCTACATACATACACACACACATGCACACGCACACACATGAACTACATGTATACGAGACGACATTTTCAGTCTTCAAAAAATGCAAATTTATGCTATAATGAGAAGTCCTTAGTGACTGGTGGTGAAGATATAAATTGGTTGTACAGGATTTCATATATTCTTCTATATTACCTTATAGAAATGAATTTATGCAAAATTACAAGGTAACAACTCCACTCTTTGGTATATTCCTACCAGAAATGAATATACTTTTTCTAAGAGAGACTTACACAATAACATAACAACATTATTCACAATATCATAATTATGGAGTAATACCCATCAATAATAGAATATATTAATAGATGTTATATCATTATAATGGGATAATTCCCAGCATTGTAAAAAATAAATACACCTGAACAACTTGGATGGGTCTATAGAATGTTAAATTGGTGAATGTAAGTCACAACTGAATAATATTAATTGTCCATTTCATGTATATAAGCTAGATAACTTGTCAAACTACTCTATAGTTTAGATACCAATATAATGATTATTTATACTGAAGAGGGATGGGAGTGGTGATACTAGTGACACTAGTAATTTTTTATTCAATGCATAATATATCAAACTATGTTTTCAATGATATTTTATAATACACTTTACCTAAAGTCTTGAAAATATAGTCTAATTTTACTTCCCAAATTATCTTAAACATATTTCTACTAACTCTAAATTTATTCAGAATGCCAAATTGATTGCTTTGATTTTTCTTAATCTTCTCAAATTTTTCTATATTGTGGAGAACAAACAATTGTTTTTCAAAAGTTTTTTATAGGTGACACTATTTGAATATCTTAAATGTTAAATTATTATGTTTATTTGACAGTTTACATATTGTCACTTTTGTCCATTTTGCATTTATTTGAATAAAAAATCTAATATATTATTCTTAGAATTTTTATATTAAAAGTTCAAGCAGCTCAATAATAGACTATTATTTATTAAAAATGTTAGCTTATTAATATCAACATAGTGATTATTAATATATATTGCTATTTGCTAATTTTACTGAATAATTCAATTAAATAATTTAACAGTATCAACTAGTTTAATTAGCAATATTTTTTAAAACAATGAGTATCAATTATTAATAAGAAGTACAATACTTTTTTAAATGAGCAAACTAAACTTCAATGGAGAACTTTATATCTGTTTCTTTATATTTTCATAGTTCTTTGTAATAGATAAAATTTTTCTCTACTATCTTCTATCATTTCCATGATAATTCTATGAAATAGGCATGGTGAAAATCATCTTCATGTTATAGTTGGTAAAGTAAAACTCAGAAGTTTTTTATAGCTCCCTAAATCTCACATATCTTATTTATTGTGATGTTGGAACTACTTGCCAGTTCACTATTATTTCCAACAAACCACATTTCTTTAGACATTGTCACCTCATTGTCAGTTGAGGAATCACCTCAGTTAGGAAGAAAATGAAAGTATATTTTAGCTGCAAACCTTCACTTGTCAGATGGAGTGACAAAATATCATTGATAACCTTTTTTAAAGCAGCTAAAAGGAAAAAAAATATACTAGAATACCAAAGTATTAAACTGGAAAAAGGAAAATATAAGAATATTAAAATTGTGCCTCCCTGGTGGCGCAAGGGTTAAGACGCAGCCTGTGAAGCTGTTCTGCAGCAAGAGTTTGATCACTGGCTGGCCATGGAGCAACCTATGTGGTGCAGCAGACCTCTCCTGTCTCGCCTGCTGCTCCCCTCAGCAGTGTACTTTGGTCGATCTGCCAGTTCTGTTCCCCGCTCTATCTCTGGTGAATCTTCTCACCTCCCCCCAACCCCCGCACTTCTGGCCTGTACCCCAGGTCCTATATGCATAATAAATAAATCTTTAAAATAATTTTACAATCAAAAAATCAAAGATGGGTACTGTATTGTGCATCCTGTCAAGACTTACATGAATCATTTTATTCCCAAGAAATTAAAGAAAAGAAAGAGGAGAGAATGGAGAAATACTCCTATGCATCATTGATCATACCACCTGTGAAGTTGTTTTTTTTTTTTTTTTTTTCTGGAAGTATTTTTAATCAAGCAATCTAACATAGGTGTTGATTTAACTTGAAAAAAGGGACCTTGCTCAAGGTACTACCATTTTTATTTTATTATTTCAAATGTTTCTCACACACTTTATATTTTTCATAAAATAGCAGAACATATGCAATTCTTTTTTTTTTTTTTATTAAAGATTTATTTTTATTTATTTATACAAGCACTGGGTACAGTCAGAAGCGCGGGAGGGTGAGAGAATTCCCCAGAGCCAGAGCGGGGAGCAGAGCAGGCAGAAGGACGAAGCACACTGCCGAGGGGAGCAGTGGGCGGCAGGAGAGGTCTGCGCGCCATGTGGGACCCTCCTCCGGTGGCCGGGGAGCAGCCGGGGAACGAACCGGCGCTGCAGAGGCTGCGGGCAGCTTCGCAACCCAGCGCTCAACCGCTGCGCCACCGGGGAGGCCCCATATGCAATTCTTACTATCACATAAACTCCACTAAGTTTTTAGCACTAGTTTTAAAGTACTAGCTGTCTTGTGGAAGGCTTCCTCATTGTTACAATTTCTTGTAGCCATTTTCAGGGACCTTATGACCTCAGTGCCTGTTAGGCTCCTAACATGACTGAGCTATTGCCAGCTTTTTCTAAATTTCTGCTAACACATCCTGGTAAGCAGATATACTGAATGAGTTTCCTAAGACACTTTATGTTGAGACTTTAGAAATATGCCACTATATAAGTTTACTATCCTTTGATTTAATGTCTGGTAAAGTTAGATGAATCTTATTTTACATAGGAAATCAGATATAGATCTAGATTCACAGATGTCATGGCTCCCTGAATAAAGGATTCAATTGTATATTAACCGAAAATTATAAAAACAAAGCTTCAATTTATTTATTGCAATGACAGTGAAGCCTCTTTTCAAACTAACTGTGCTAATGAGACAATTTAAAAAAAAAAACAAATGTAGTTATACCATCCATAATTTTCAAAAAAGTAATCTTAAATATTGGAAAATATTTTATATATACATTTGATGTATTACAACATCTAATAATACTAGATTACAAAACTTTTTTTAATTTGGTTTGCTAATCATTATTACTTTTTTTCAAGTTAATTGAGATAAAATTGACAAATATTGTCTAAGTAAGGTGTGCAACAAAAGGATTTGATTTAGTATATATTTACAAAATGTTTACCACAATATATTTAGTTAGATCCATTACTTAATACAGTTACAATATTTTCCTTTCAGTGAAATCTGTTTAACTTTTTTAAACTTTTTAACTTTATTTTGCATAGATGAACTGGGTCAGAGGTGAAGGGGTTAAGAAGATTCACCAGAGACAGAGTTGGGGGTAGAATAGGCAGACTAATTGAAATCTACTGCTAAGAGGACCAGCAGGTAAGATAGGTCTGCTGAGCCCTATGTCGGTTTGCTGACTGGCCAGTAATGGCCTCACACCATGGAGGTGATAGCACTGAGACTTAACTCTTAGCCCACTAGGGAGACCCCACAATGAAAACTTTTAGGAACTACTTTCTTAGCAAATTGCAAATATGTAATGCAGTATAGTTAACTACAGCAGTTGTACTTTAGATTTACTCATGAAATTTGAAACAAAGTTGCCAAAGGAATAGATTTATCTGTCTTGATACTATTTTTGAGAAAACTGTAACAATAAAAACATTTTAGTATGTATGATACTTTATGAGGTAAAGATCAATTTTGAAGACAGAAAATACAAATAATTTTCTACAAATTAATAATAATTTCTTAGTCTCTATATCTAAAAACTTTCAGCATCATCCTAATATTTTTATTTTCTAAGAAATGAATTTAGTTTTTCAAAGTGATATGATTCAAATTATCCCCATGCTGCTGGTTCAAATGTGAATTTCCACTACTTATTCATTTAAAATATGTAATTTAAATAAGGCTTACATAGAATCATTTATTTATGGCTTTGTTGAAAGACTTCAAAGAAAATATAAACTTGATGGAATAAAAGCCTGTGTTTATAGCTCAGAATTAATATTACTAAAACTGCCATACCACCCAAAGCCATCTACAGAGACAACTCATTCCTTATTTTCACAGAAATATTAAAAAAAATCCAAAGATTTTTATGGAATCGCAAAACACCTTAAATAACCTAGGCAATCACATGTTTGAAGATGAAAGCCAGAGGCATCACCCTTCCTAATTCCAAACTGTACTCTAAAGCTAAAGCAATTGGCATTGGCATAAAAACAGACACATAGAACAATTCAATAGGAAAAAAAAAGCCCAGAATTAAACATGCTCATATAGAGTCAACTAAAAATTGACAAGATATCCAAAAATATGCATTGAGGCAAGGATAGTCTCTTCAATAAATGGTACCAAAAATACTGGATATCACAAACATGAAATTGGAACCCTATTTTTCTCAGCTGATATAAATTAGCTAGATGGATCAAAAACTTAAGCATAAAACTTTATATTACAAATCTTCCAGAAGAAAACATTGAGAAGAGCCACTCTATTGGTTGTGGCAATGTTTTTTGTTATTGTTTTTTTTTTTTCTTTATTGGCACCAAATGCACAAATAGGGAAAGCAAAAATAACTAAGTGGGTCTACATCAAACTTCAAACATTTCTGCATGGCAAAGGATACAATTTACCAAATAAAAGTCAATCAATGGAATGGGAGAAAATGTTTTCAAATCATATATCAGATAAGAGGACAAGAGATTAATATCCAAATATATAAAGAACTATACAACCAATAACAACACAAATAAAAATTCATTTAAAAATAAGCAGAAAAAAATAATAAAAATAAGCAGAGGGTCTCTCTGGTGGCACAAGTGTTTAAGACACAACCTATAAAGCTATCCATTGCCCCTGCAGCACAAGTTTGATACCAGGCCAGGGAGCTACCCACATGGCACAGCCAACCTCTCCTGACTAGCCTGCTGCTTCCCTCAGCAGTGTATTTCAGTGCATCTGCCTTTTCTGCTCTTCACTCTGCCTCTGGTGACTCCTCTCACCTCCCACACCTCTGGTCTGTACCCCAGTTCTTGAATGCATAAATAAATAAATATTTAAAAAATAAAAAAAAATAAAAATAAGCAGAGAAACTCTAATACTTGTTATGAATTTAAACCTGTACCTGGACTATTCAGAGCTATTTCTCTATAGAGTATTTTCCATTTCAAATGCATTGCTTGAATTAGGTTCATATCTAGAAAAAGGAGGATATTAATAACCATCCATACAAACAAAAAAAGGACATTAAGTTTTCCACTCTAGCTATATATTTGATCTTCTATGCACTTTTAATATTAAAGACTACACAAAAATTTGTTAATATTTTTAATTGAAATTATTTATAAGGAGAAGGCATTTACTGACACTGAAATTCACATTAAAAGGACTGATAATCTAACTAAGATGCAGTACAATTCATTGAATTTAGGAAACTCTCCTAATGCCTTTCTCAATGAACTGAAACCATTTTCATTTCAATATTTCTTCTACCTTTTCCCTTTCCATAAATTACCCTTTTCATTTTTCTTATAATTATGTGCAAAAGTAAATTTGTAAAATCATGTGATCTAAAACACTGTAGCTGACACACACACGTGTGTGTGTGTGTGTGTGTGTATATATATATATATATAGTCTCGACAAAGCCGTTTTTTACTGCTAGTTATATTCATTATAAAGCAAACTATTCAAATGCAGAAGTAGGAAAAATATATTCCCAACTAATATTATGGTATTTTTAAGGTAAGTTAACAGCACTTTTTAATTGGGAAAGTGAAAGAATCTTAAACATATTTAAATGATTTGCAAAGATTATTTTAGCTTAAAAGATAAGAATATGCAAAAATATGAACAGGCAGTTTTTCAATGAATAATAAACAGATATATGTTTGCAAATAAACAGGATCAACATGAGTGAGCCTAAAATGAATAGTTTCATATGCAAGAAGGATTTCCCAGGAGAAACTAAGATAACAATCCAATTAAGCTGTTACTGTATGTAAATGAGAAATTGCAATTTAAGTTACCATAATAAGGAAAAATTTCAAAACCAAAATAATGCATTTCTTGTTTTATTTCAAATAAGTCAAATGATAAGTTGTAAAAGGTATAGGTAAGCATCAGGTGATCAGGAACTGAAGGTAATCAGTTTGTAAAATACATTTAAAGATGGATGGTTTTTAAATGTTAGCTAAAACTGTATTATCATTTCACAATTAAAAATTCATTAGAACTTGTGAGTCCAGGATAACATTTTGTAAATAGAAGCAGCATGTGAGAAATTTGAATGAGTATAGGGTTTAATAGAATAATCAGTGTTCAAGTTACTACACCTCAAAATAACAATTTATAAATATTCATATTCTAATAGTCCTACCACTAACTAAATAACAAAATGGTAAATCTTGCTCCAAATGTTGTTAGCTTTGTCTCATTTATTTCAGTAATGTCCCATATTATTAGTTAAAACTAAATAGACCTATATGGAAGAAAATGTTCAGGTACAAATGCTATATTCACATTGATTATCCAAGTTCAAATTCAAGTTCTCACTCTTTTAAGGAGGTCTTTCTGTGTCTACTAATTACTTATGATCTTTTCTATGCTCTCAAACCACTCATATCTACAAATTATGGAAATTACATGTACAGTTAAGCAGTGTTTCATTCAAAGGCTAAATGATCTTTAAGAAAATATGACCTATTTTTACAACTCTTAGAAAACTGAACAGAAGAATTTTTGAACATATCTGTAAAATTTTGAATAAATTGGATGCTTGGACAAATAATCTCTATAAATAGAGTAACAGCCATGTTTTCTCTTTTTTGCCCTAATATCTTGAGATGAAGAACTGGACAAATTCTTGCCAATTAGAGACCTTACTCATCATTTGTTAGTTTGCACAGAATGCTCAAAATCATTTTAATTTGATCCTATATTTATTCCCAAGAATTTGCTTTAGAATCTAAATTGTTTTTCTGTTTTGAAAAATCAGATGATATGGCAACACTGGCCACGACAGTTTCACCTGAGTTCACGTTACCCCTTTTAGAGCAAGTGTTCACTTGTTAACCCAAAGTCTCGTTTCTCTACTGTATCCTACTCTCTTTGATCTCTACCTCTGTTTTTGTTTGTTTTTGTTTTTTATTAAGAAAATGATCTAAATAATAACCCCACAGTTAGGTTTTTTAGAAGCTCACAGATTTTTTTTTTTTTTTTTTTTGTGGGACCCTCGTCGAAGGCCTGGGAACCAACCACCGCTGCAGACAGCCTCACAGCCCAGCACTCAACCGCTTCGCCACCAGGGGAGGCCCACACAGTAGATTGTTTAAAATTTCAAAACGCTTAACTTAATTACCAGAGTGCTGAAGTAAAAGCCACAATGCCAACAATAAGCAAGTTACTCTGGTAACATTTCAGGCATGATTTTAGTGAAGTCACAGTGAAAAATAACCTATGAAGTTTTCATCTTTGTCTTAGAGGAGATGTGTTTACCAAACAAGATTTTTGCTAAACCATGTTACTTTTAAAAATGATTTTAAATAGCAAAAAGTACTAATCTGTTACCTATTCATCACAAACAACCTTCAGGTATAGGTTTTTACATGATGATTTTGGCAACTTTTTGAAGTTACCTGGAACTGTATTACA